GCAAATTGAGCAGCCCTTAGGGCTTCTGCCTGCAACATGGTAGCAGAAAATGTACAGAAAACAGAAGAGAGGTACAGAGACAGCCTTAGTCAGAGGGGTTACCGTTCTCCTTTTGCCTTATTTCAGTGTGGTCAGGTCAGTTGGCTGCCTGCAAGTGACTAAAGCTTGGCTGCTGTGATTGGCTGAGACTCAGCTATTTGTTACAGAAGTATACAGAAGTAAATTAGGCTCTCAGTGAGTTTACACAGTAAGTTGGGTTGCTGTACAGAGGCATCTTCAGGCCAAATTTAATTGAACATACTACTTATCTTTTCTGTGTCTGATTGCATAGATGATTTGCCCAGAGTGCCCTTATGTCCTGTGATAACAAGCACAATGCCCTTTGCGTGAACTTGGGCAGAGACCTCAGGTTTGGGGCAGTTTGACTGAAACCTTAAACTGAAAGTTGTAAATCAGAGGAGTTTTTCTCATACTTCTTAGCACCCTCCTGCCCCTACTCCACCACCTTTTCTGAATATTTCTTCCTCATGCTGGTAACCATCTCCTTCCTTTCTGCTCTCAGGGAATCTGTCCTTTATAAAAGAAATTAAATTAAAAATTTCAGGGAATCTGTCCTTTATAAAAGAAATTAAATTAAAAATTTAAAAGTTATAGGCAAATTTAAATCATACTAAAGTGTTAATGGCTACCAGAAGCTTAGTCTATTCTCCTTCCTTGGAGATACTTGTGGTTGCAAAAGAGATTCTCAGGAAGGGTAATTTTGATTTCAAAGGAAGTATCTTTAATGCTAAAATTTATATAATAAGGTAGAGAAAGTGGGAGGATTTTTAAGGAAAAGATTCCTTCTTGGAGGTCCCCAAACCCTCGAACTCAGATCTGCCCAAGTACGTGGCAGGACATGGCATGACAACCTTCCCTTGCTTGCCCCCGTCTGCTCCTCCATCTCATGTCCATTCTGTCCTAGGAAGAGCCCAATATGGAGAAGATGCCTCCACCCTGACAAAGAAAACACTCCTTTCTCTTTCTCAGAACTCTTAAAGAGTATACGCCAGTGACTCTACTGGGAAAGCTAATACCAGATGAACTGTCTACTATAAATGTTGCTTTCAGCTTTTACTCAGAAGAATTTATAATTGGTGTGTGGATGATTTCGTGTTTTACCTTTATTCCAATGTAAGATTATTGTTGAAGACGTTTCTGTACCTCTGCAGGGCCACATGTTTGTTTATGTGCTTTTGAACTTTTTAGTATAATGTGAGTATGGGAAAACACACAGCTCAATCAGCAGACAGCTCAGTGGCTCTATGAATTGTCACAGATGGAACTCACTTATGTAACCAGCACCCAGATCGAGAAACAGCATGACTAGTACCCCAGAATCTCCCTTGCAGTCACTGTTCCCCCAAGGGTCTAGTACTCCAGTAACTAACACTAGAGATTAGTGTTGCCTGTTTTGGAGCTCTATGCAAAGGGGGTAAGAAAGTAAGAAAGCTCTTTTATGTCTGGTTCCCCTCAACCCCCCACTCCTTTGTGATTTTGATGTTTATTCTTATTATGTGTAATCCTAGTTTCTGTATTTTCTCTCCTTTGTAATTATTTTGTTGTGTGAATATACCATAATTTATTTATCTGTTCTACGGTAAAGCATTTGGGCAGTTTCCAACATGGGGCTGTTACAAGTAGTGCTACTGTTTGCCCGGTCTTTTTTTTTTTTTTGAGACAGAGCCTCAAGCTGTCCCCCTGGGTAGAGTGCCATGGCATCACAGCTCACAG